GGACACCCTGGGGGACACCCCTGGGGGACACCCCTCCTCAGGGCCCTGCCGTACTCACGTTGGGGACGAAGCCCGGCTCCACCCGCTTCGCGCAGACGTCGGCCCAGGCCATGGCTGAGAGGGAGGCCGAGGCCTGGACGTCGTCCAGGCAGGAGAAGCGATGCTCGGGGTTCACCGTCAGCAGCTGGGCAGGGGAGAGCACCCGGGTCAGGGGGCAGGGGCAGGGAGCCCGGCAGCCCCTTCCCGTGGGAAACAGGTAACTTGCTACGGGAAGAAAAACTGCAGAAAAACATCCTGGAGGTTGTGAAACAAGATGGCAAAAATGTGGTACCGCGGGCTCTTGGACAAGCAGAGGTTTGCTCCTCCATGCCCACCCCTCGGCAGCACAGCCGGGCACTGCCACCCCAGCACGCTCCTCCCCGGGCCAGGGACGGACCACGCTCCCCACTGAAGATGTTCAGCCCCCCAGAGGCTCATCCTTTCGGTCTCAGCCTCCACAGGTCCTGTTTCCACCCCACTTCTGTGACACCGGGGGACACTACCCCGTTTATCACACACAGGGATTACTAAGCACAGAGAAAACAATTCAGAATCATCCCCATGTCCCCTGAGACACAGTCCACACAGCGTGAGACAACGACCACACAGTGTGACAGACCCGAATGTTCCAAGAGCTCAGCACCGTGTGTCACACTCTGTGCTCAGCCGCCTTGAGTTACAGCTTGCAGGGCTGCTGGAGGCAGGTCTGGAGGTATGTCTAACAAGGAGATATGTCTAACCTGGAGGTAGGTCTGACATGGAAGGAGATCTGATGTGGAGGGACATCTAACACAGGATCTAGGCAAGGCTTCCAGAAAATTCTGTGCCTGGTCTCTCCCCATGAAAACCTTCCCCAAAGCTCAGCTGGTGGCACCTTTTCAGTACATCCTCAGAGCCCTGTGCGTGTCTCCTCTCCCAAGGGTGGGAAGCTCATGGTGGGTGAAGCTGGAGAGAAGCTGGAGTCCTGGAGCTGCACCCAACATCTGGACCCTTCCATTTTTCCAGAGCACCTACAACACCCGCTCGGTTTTGGGCATCCTCAAACGGAGCACACGCTGCCTCGACTGATGGACACCTGTGGCAGCACCTCTACAAAACGCCCAGCCAGGACCGTTAGCTTTAAAAACCTCTGGCCTTATTCTGGGCACATTAATTACAGGGGTTACAACATTTTGCAGAAAATAAAGTTGGCACTCAGTGTTTTTCCAAGGCCAAAGGCAGCTGTGCAAGAAGCAGGTGACGGTGACTGTACCTACAGCCCACCAAGCACCCAAGCACTGGAGTGCTTGTGAAGGTGGCAGGGTGAAAGCCCACCTCGACCAGCAGTGCCACCTGGGGAACCTCTCAGGCACGGCACAGAATTGTCTTTGTCTTTAAAAGGCAAAGGGGGAATCCCCAGTTCCCAAGTGAGGCTGCTGGGACAGCACCAGCCCGGCGGGAAGGAGACACGGGGCACCAATGCTGGCACAGTGCTGGAGCAGGGAGATGGGAGATGGTCCCAACAGGCAGATGGGTGGGCAACCAGCACCTGACATCGCCCCTGGGCACCAGCAGAGACCCCAGGCTGCACTTTGAGGGAACACAGGAGGCTGAGGTGGCTGCTGGCGTTTTCCTGGTGAGATGTTTTTAAAGGGGGCCTACAGGAAAGCTGGGGAGGGGCTCTTGACCAGGGGTGTAGTGATAGGATGAGGGGTAATGGGTTCAAACTGGGAGAGGGGAGATTTGGATTAGATATTAGCAAGTTCTTTACTATGAGGGTGGTGATTGACCAGGGGTGTAGTGATAGGATGAGGGGTAATGGGTTCAAACTGGGAGAGGGGAGATTTGGATTAGATATTAGCAAGTTCTTTACTATGAGGGTGGTGAGACCCTGGCCCAGGCTGGCCAGGGATCTGTGGATGTCCCATCCCTGGAAGTGTTCAAGGCCAGGCTGGATGGGGCTCTGAGCAACCTGCTCTAGTGGGAGGTGTCCCTGCCCACGGCAGGGGGTTGGAATGAGATGTTCTTTAAGGTCCCTTCCAGCCCCAGCCATTGCACGACCCTGCTCCTGCCGGGTGCCTGGAAGCCTGCAGCCCAGCAGAGGGCAACGTGAACCTGCCGCAGCCAGAGAGCAACCATGCTGCTCATTACAACAAAATCTAATTATGTCAATTGCCCACCCAACATTAGCTTACATCAGAGTCACTTACTTGCTGCCAGCACTGTGTATATCTTTTCTACAGCATGCTCATCAGCTATTTTTCTGTGTTCTCCAGCAAGCAGAAGCTAAACCACAATCTCCTCACCAAATCAACAACTTTCTCATGTGGTAGCCCAAGGAAAGCAGCAGACACAGACCCCTGAGAGTTCTCACAACCCAACACACCCAATCAGACCCTTTGGCCCAGGAGTGGGTAACTGGGCAGGGGCAGCCCACATGCCTCCATCTCGACCACCATCGCTGCCTTTTGGGTTATGATGACCACAGAGGGGGATGTTGAAGGGCTCAGTTCCAGCCCAGGGAGGAATCTGTCACACCAGAATCAGCCTTTTCCCCTCCCATGCCATCAAACACAATGCATCTTATCACAGGGATCACAGACACAACCCAAGATCAGTCTGTGCTCAAGCCTGGACAAACCCATAAAAATTAGTCCTATCTCAGTTTTACACTATTTACTAATGTGCTGAAAATGCCCCACGTGCCCCACGGCTCATGTACAAGGGGATCCACCCCAGCAGGACTGTTTACCTTCCTTAACAGAGCAACCATCTCCCTGGACCAGGCGGAGGAGTACTGCACGCTGACGGTGCTGAAGAGCTGGACTAAGGACTCCACGGGGCTGCTGGAGTGGATGTCATACGGTCTCTGGGGGAAGAAAGCAGAAAGATGAGAAGGAACATCCCCTCCTCTCTGCAGTCAGCCAGGACGTGTGTCCCTGGGCCCGGGACCCTCGGGAGCCTTACCCAGCCCCGCAGCAGCTCGTAAGCCATGATCCCCAGTGACCACCAGTCCACCTCGAAGGAGTAGCCTGTCCCGCCGTTCAGGAAGGAGTGGAAGATCTCCGGGGCTGGGCAGAAAGGGCAAAACACAACAGCTCAGTCCTCGGCCTCCCTCTGGGTCTGGTTCCCTATTGCAGGTAAGCCAGTATGTAAACCTTACGGTTCTTTTTGTGCAAACCTTGCAGTTCTTTTTGTGTTTCGGATAAAAAGGTTTTTGTGTAAACCTCACGGTTCTTTGTCCACGCTGCTGCCCGAGGGGGGTTTGCCAGGCAGGGAGCAGCAGCAGCACACTGGGCAGCCAGGCTGTGGGCAGCCTGCAGGGAGGAGCCCTCCCGAGGCAGCAAGCGGGGGTGGCAGACCCCCAGGATGCCCCGGGACCCCCCGGCGTGGCACGGGGCCGGTGGGAGGGCACAGCAGGATGGGTGCTGCGCCGGCAGCGGCT